AATAGTTGGGAAGAGATTTTTGACGTACCGATCCCATGGCATAGTGTTTATGAACTGACACGCAAAACGACACCGGATTAAAAAATTTGAATCTTTCAATTTAAATTATTATATAAAATTCTTGCTACCAATAGAATGTTATTTATATGGGGGATACAATCTTCCCAGCTCTGCAGATTTTGCTGTGAAGAAACAGAATCATTAGATCATTTGTTTTGGTTCTGTCCATTTGTAGCTTGTTTTTGGACACAGGTCCAGGAATGGCTAAAGGATTGCAATATTTACCTGGAGCTAACCTTGCAGATAGCATTACTGGGTGATCTGAAAAGTCATAGTCAATCGATCAATAATATAATAATACTTTTGGCAAAACATTTTATTTTTAATTCACAATCTGTAGAACCAATGAGAATAGAAAGGTTCAGAACTTTTGTAAAACATCACAGTACGGTTGAAATATATATGGCAAATAGAAATCCTATATGGATGGTGTTAAGAGATAGATGGGAGGTATTGAATGGAGTTGAAGGATGGGATTAATAACAACTAACAACAAATGATAACAAGATAACTAATAATGTAAGCATACTGTGTCCATAATAATTATATGGGTTGTATGTTGGGATCTTTTGGGAAAGAGCACAGTTAGAAAGATGTGGCATATAGAAGCAAACCGGATGGACATCATGAAAATGATCGGAGAGGTTGAGAGTAGAAGAAGTTCAGGAGCAAAAACAAAAAAAACTAATAAAATATAATTATTGTAAAATTGACTGTGTCCATAAGGTGTAGATAGTAAGTATAGGCTAGAAGTAGAGGCCTGGACATTGTTGTTCACTAATTTACCCCAAGTAGGGAAAATATGGCGGGGTTGAAAAGTAATAAAGGTGAGTATATACATAAAAAACATGGGGGATTGGAAGTGATGCAGACAATTACATTGATAGAAGTTACAATCTATCTGCAATTTTAAGCTGATCTACCCCCCCCAAAAAATAAAAAAATACAAAATACAAAATAAAAATAGACCAACTTGCCAAAACTATAGTTTGTTAACAAGAAATTTGTGGAGTGGTTGAAAAACAAGTTTTAATGACTCCAACCTAAGTGTATGTAAAATTCCGACTTCAACTGTATATAATTATAATTTTTTGCTAAAAATCACTCACGGGCCAGTTTTGGCTGCTGTGTAGTAGGGGTCTGGAAGAAAGCTATTTTTGGTGTAAGGACTGTGTTTGGTGAAGTTTTCTACTGTAGAGTTTTGTACTTCAGGACCTCAGCCTTTTCCTCATTAACGAAAGATTCAATTTTGCTCTCCAGTCCTCCAGCCAAACTTAGGGAATCAATTGAATTCATTGTCACTACTTTCTTTAAGTCTCTCTGTCTCCATTTCCCGCCTCAAGCCTTTCATTTACTGCATGTGGGTTTGCTTTTTTACTAAAACAAGGAAAGACAAATAAGATGATGCTGATTTTTTTTTGCTCGCTCCTGTGGTCAGGATGCTTCCAAACCAAACATTTGAGAAGGATGTCCTCCAGTTATGTAACATTACTGTGTATGTCTATGGGCAAAATTGCGATGGCGTGAGGGAAACGCTGGTATGGATAAGAATGACTGTCTTTTGTTCAAGTCTGTGTTACATGCTGCCAAACATACAGAAGGGAGGCTGTGTGTGTGTGTGTGCGTGTGTGTGTGTGTGTGTGTGTGTGTGTGTGTGTGTGTGTGTGTGTGTGTGTGTGTGAGTCTGTCTGCCTGCCTGTGTGTGTGTGTGTGTGTGTGTGTGTGTGTGTGTGAGTCTGTCTGCCTGTGTGTGTGTGTGTGTGTGTATGTGTGTGTGTGTGTGTGCTCCATACAAAGCTCATTCATGTGATAATTGTTGGAGTGAGCCCACTCCATGACCATGACCATGATGAACTGTGGATCTGTCAGATAAAACGATACATAATCTGTTAAATCATTGGCTCTGAAATCACCACTCTAATCCGCATGCAGCGTTTGTTCCTCCATTGCTTTATCGTCTCCACTCCAGACAGATAATGCAAACATGTGTGTGGTGGGGGGCAGGGGGAGCTTGAGGGGGGGGGGGGGGGGGGGGTTGCCCACCCTTTCGCCACCCAGGTCTGGGCTTTACTTGTGTTTGACAATCATCTGGCGTTGAAAGGATTACAAGAATTTGAGTTCAAGTGTTTGGAGACCCACTGGAGTGAGCCAGTAACAAACACTATACCTCTGCAGAACAAAAAATGTCAGAATTTTGAGGCTATTTCAAGTGCTGAGCAAGAAACCAAAATTGATTTGATAAAATAAACCTCCCACATCCTTCCAGCAGTCAGACATGTATTGTTGATGTAGGAAGATCAGGAGACAATAAAGCTGCAGCATTATAACTTAGGCTAATCAGCGAATTCAGGGACTCATGGAGTTGTGGGGACCCTTTGTGTAAACAGAAGGCTCAGGCACAATGATAGAGAACAGTTTGAATGATAATATCTTGAGCAATAGTCAAAGGAGTCGATAACCAGATTTGAATAATAGAATAAACACATCAGATGGTTTTTGTCCATGGCTTTAATGTTCTGCGCACACCACACAGAATATGAAGTATAACCCTAGAGTGTAAACAAAGCCTTATGAAGATTCTGCTGTACAGAACAATGTTCTTTAGCAGTTTGGTGATGGTTTCATAAACCAACGTGAGCTGAAACCATATAAATAAGACTAGAAATATTGAGTTTTTTTTTTATACGAAGTTTTCATGTTCAATAATATTTTTATATTAAAATGTTGCATGACCAATTGCTCCAACAGTTTGAGAAATGGAGCACAAAGTGCATGTCCTGCATGTTTTTGAGATGATCTCATCTTGACGATAAGTCATTTCATTCCTCTCATCACATCTCCATCTGCATGTTCTGAAGACCAGAGACTCAGCCACAGTTGCTTCAGTTGACTGACAAAAGGAGAAGAGACAATCCGTCCCAAATGGCACCATATTCCCTACAGATGTAGGATCTTAATTTGAGCCAGTTTGCTACAACAGGAAAATAATTCTGCAGCAACAGGAAATGTGAATTTTTATGAGGATTATAGTTAATGAACATTTTGAAGGGGTTGATACATTTTTTGAAAAGGGAAAATCAAGTCTGAAATGTCATAGTTGAAATTAAACTTTAAAAGCCTTTCTAAACCTCACATACACTACACATTTTACATTTCCTGCATTACAGGAAAGTTCACCTGCAACATGGTGATCAAATTACGATCCAACATCTGTATATAGTACACTATAAAGGGAATAGGGTACCATTTGGGACGCTGAAATATGTTAGGTACTGATTGACATGACACATCCTGATAGTTTAGTCTGTGTCTGTAAAATGAACATTTATAGAATAGTACATAAAGAGAGAATGAATAGCCCTAACGATCTAACTACTCCAACATTATAAAAAAATTATGGTACTGCTGTTCAGTCTCTTCTCCCATTTGAGCTTTCACAAGCAATTAATGGCCAGGCCGGTCGCCGCCTGCCTTCCATCAAAGGTCATTCATTCCATTCTCATTGTCTTCCATTCCATTTACTCTCCATTTTCCTGCCAACTCCAACATTGGTGGTTTGAAAAGAGGATAATGGTAGCCTTAACGTTTCCCTGCCTCTTACTCTGCTGACACCTCCAGCTCACAATGGTCTCCAATTATAGGGTGTTCTGGTCTCTCTGCTGCTACTGCATGGCTTCTCCACGTGTTTGAAGTGTACTGTGTACTTCTGCTCAGGCGGACTACAGGGGACCTTCAAAAATTAATGGCTTGTTCAGAGCCATTAATGCACAGGCAAGACAGGCCGTTTCAGGCAGAGAGCCTTGCTGGCTGGCTGAGTCAGGTGCATGCAGAACAGATTGGACTGTCTGTCTACAGAATGGATGCTGTGTGTGTGTGTGTGTGTGTGTGTGTGTGTGTGTGTGTGTGTGTGTCTGTCTGTCTGTTCCCACAATAAATTAAGTCTTCCTATCCACGCTGCTAAAGAGTGTGTTTGTCACCAAGGTCTTTTGCAGTGGTAATGTTGGAATATTTCACGTTAACTCACACACACTAAAAGGACTTCTTTCAAAGTCTTATAGATAATAATAATAATAATAATAATAATAATAATATGCCATTTAGCAGACGCTTTTATCCAAAGCGACTTACAGTCATGCGTGCATACATTTTTGTGTATGGGTGGTCCCGGGGATCGAACCCACTACCTAGATGTTGGAACTTAATAATTTGATCACCCTGTTGTTGCAGGAAATTGTAGTGTATTTAACGTTTAAAAACGCTTCTGCCCGAACTAAAAATGTATCAACAAAAATGTACCATTAATTTACATCCATGCATTACCTGTTGCTGCAGGATTCTTTACCTGCTGTGAGAAACTGGTCAAATTAAGATCCTACATCTGTATGTGGAAGTGAATGATTGAAATACAAATAATGACACATCAGGTTCAACTCTCTTTTTCCAGCAAAGATCATGTTGTCTTTTTTGGTTTTATGGAGTCTTGAATTCACAATGTCTTTGTGGATTGAAGACAACTTTTCTTGGATTCTTCAAAAATCTTTGATCTCTTCTTTAAGGTCAATACTTGTTTATTGTGTGCCATGTCATTTGAGTGAAATGTTGTCAGTGATATCTGTAGGCTATGTCTTCAATAACCAGCCTTTTTCATCATCCAAGCCCTCAGCATTCTTCCAAATGTACTGTATTTTCCCTGTCCCAAATCTCTACCCTTCTCCAAAATTGTGGATTTGCACACTCCCCTTCATGGATTTTATAAGCATAGGATTGGTGTAAGCATTTGCTAGAGGGAGTTTCCACCATTGTTAAATGGTGCAAGTGCACACTTCATGAGAAAGGGTGGAGAATCGGGTCACATCCTATCTATATCTATGTTTGACATTGAGTGGTTAGCCTAACGTTGTCTTGATGTTGTTTGTTGTCATGTTTGTCGTCATCCAGAGGAGGAGAAGCCTGTGCTGGGCAAACTGACAGTGTCAGACGTGTCGTGGGACAGCTTCCTGGTGTCCTGGGTCACTGAGGAGGGAGCCTTTGATGGCTTTGTGGTTGAGGTGACAGACGCAGAGGCAGGGGTAGATTGGCAGAACCACACCCTGCAAGATGCAGCCCAGAGCCTGGGCATCGTAGGCCTCTCTCCGGCCACCTGGTACAATGTCAGCCTGTATGGGCTGTTCAAGGGGGCCCTGTTAGGGCCTGTCTATGCAGACACCATCACAGGTATCACCACTCACTTAGTAAATCCTCTGTCTGTCTGACTAAATATTTTAATTAACATCACAATCTTTCTCTCCATTGTCTTGGAAGAGGCTTGTTCCAATCCATGGGTATCATGGTGTCATGCTTTATACTGTAGTGTACACCCTATTATCAATTTTACACCAATATAACTTTACGTATCTGTTTTTACACCAATATAACTTTACTTATCTGTTTTTACACCAATATAACTTTACGTATCTGTTTTTACACCAATATAACTTTACTTATCTGTTTTTACACCAATAGAACTTTACGTATCTGTTTTTACACCAATAGGAACTTTACTTATCTGTTTTTACACCAACAGCACTTTACCTCTGATCTCTTCATACAATAAGTTAAGTGTCTAATAGTGATAACTTACCAGTCCAGCCACTGCGGAAGTTCTTTGCTCATTAGTCATTTCCACCATACAAAACCCCCAGCCTGTTTTAACCTCTTGCCATTCAAATGCCTCAATCATCATCACCGAGCAACACCACCTCACCAATTATGTGGGTTTCCCTCACTTTGATGCAGTGACTGTAAAATATATTTTAGAATCCAACCGTCCACAGTATCAAACCACCCCACCCAGACAAAACCCATTCAGTTGACATGAGGCCTGACCTGGCCTGCAGTGGATCCACCTTTGAGCCACCCTAAGCAGACTATTTGCCTGTCAGGACGTGCCATGAGAGAAAAAACACTTGGAGAATTTCTGAGCTGTCAGCCGGCCCACGTGTTGTGATCTGTACCCTGGGTAGTGACTGACTGACTGACAGCAGAGACCCAACAGGTGCATTGATTCATCCTCCCATCCAACCAATAATAGTCATTATCAACCATTCAAATTCTGTGAATTACAATGCTGTGTACTGAACGGAGCATGAACAAGACTACTCACGTCAAGACTACTTACTTTGTTTGCTGTTAAAACCATTGAGGACATGTGCTTTGAGAATGTACAACCTGATTAAGCAGTGACAAGTAATAATAATAATTTATATGCAGTGTTGTCAATGTTTTAGTAAAACATTTTAATTTCGGATTTGAGGTGGATGTCAGATGGGATTTAGGTGACCTATCCAAGCCATCTGTTTCTGACAGCATAGAGTACCTAGACGAACCTGGCCTCTGCATACTTCTGCTGCCATGGAAAATAATACTTGTTATTCAGACCAGCCAGCCCCCTGGTACCACCCACTCTCCCCTAAACACACACACATAGAAACCAGGCAGCACACACATTGCACACATGGCTTTGTTATTTTGAGGTCTTCCGTCACCTGCTGAAAGCCTGCCTCAAATTACTTCTCCATCATCTACTAATTTGGTAACTTTCCCAGTGAATAAAAGGGATATATTTGAAACAATCCTTTCAAAGCTAATTTAAAACAGTTCTTCACGTTTTTCATGTTATCCTCATGGTATAAACAATTTGTGTATTGTATCATTGTTAGTAAGCATCAGTCAAAGCACATTATAGTTCAGCTGTTCCCACATAATGATGATTCGGCAAACGGATGGAGGGAGAGTCAGTGGTCCTTGAGGAGTTTTTTTTCTATTCTGTGAGGGCTTGGATCCCCTCCCTCCCTAGACTCAGACCGCTCCACTCTGCTCCGCTCCCAGACCGCTCCACTCCCACACCCGCTCTGCTCTGCTCTGCTCCGTTCCAGAATGCTCCGCTCCCACACCCGCTCTGCTCTGTTCTAGACCGCTCTGCTCCCACAGCCGCTCCACTCCATTCCAGACCGCTCCGCTCCCACACCCGCTCCACTCCGTTCTAGACCGCTCCGCTTCCACACCCGCTCTGCTCCATTCCAGACCGCTCCGCTCCCACACCCGCTCTGCTTCTCATTCTCATGCTCACATTGACACTGTGTCCTGGAGCCTGGTGTTGGGGCGCCAGGGACTGCTGGAGCCCGGAGCCTGGGGTGCCATGGACTGTTGGAGCCTGGTGTTGGGGTGCCAGGGACTGCTGGAGCCTGGTGTTGGGGTGCCAGGGACTGCTTGAGCCTGGTGTTGGGGTGCCATGGACTGCTGGAGCCTGGTGTTGGGGTGCCAGGCACTGCTGGAGCCTGGTGTTGGGGTGCCATGGACTGCTGGAGCCTGGTGTTGGGGTGCCAGGGACTGCTGGAGCCTGGTGTTGGGGTGCCAGGGACTGCTGGAGCCTGGTGTTGGGGTGCCAGGGACTGCTGGAGCCTGGTGTTGGGGTGCCAGGGACTGCTGGAGCCTGGTGTTGGGGTGCCAGGGACTGCTGGGGCTGCTGCACATGTTTGCACTTCTGGGTTGCATCCCATATGGCACCCTATTCCCATATATAGTGCAGTACTTCTTTACCAGGGCCTCCATCGCTCTCTGCCTCCCTGCTTCCCTGACTGACCTGCTGGCCAGCTAAAGAAGCCCTGCTCCACTCCTAACGAAGAGTGCCAGCTACCCGGGATTTGTGTGCTCTGGTTTCATTAACCCCCATTTCTTTTCACAACAACGTTCTCTCGTTTCACGTCAGCCCAATCCTCTGAGTTCACACTGGCTCAGGCACCTAATGTTTGGTGTAGTGTTCTAACGAGTTATGTCCCTGTATCTAGCCAGGCAGCACTGAGGCGGCACAGTCAGTCCACTGATATGTCTATGTCTGACTGTCCATCTCTCGAACCCAGCTACACCAGAAATACATTAGAACCACTCTGGCCCATCTTCCATCCATCTGTAGCTCTGAATCTCCAGGAAACAGCTTTAGTTGTAATGAGCTGCTGTCTGTATGGTGCAGACGGTTGGTCTGCTAACACATCCTCTCTCTCTGGCTGCTACAGATGTAGACTCTAACAGATGTAGACTCTAACAGATGTAGACTCTAACAGATGTAGACTAACAGATGTAGACTAACAGATGTAGATTCAAACAGATGTAGACTAACAGATGTAGACTCTAACAGATGTAGACTAACAGATGTAGACTCTAACAGATGTAGATTCAAACAGATGTAGACTAACAGATGTAGATTCAAACAGATGTAGACTAACAGATGTAGACTCTAACAGATGTAGACTAACAGATGTAGACTAACAGATGTAGACTAACAGATGTAGACTCTAACAGATGTAGACCAACAGATGTAGACTCCTGCTGGCTCCGCTCCTCTCCTTTTCATCAGCCATTATTAGCTACTGGTAACGACTAGTTTACACTGTTGTTTTTTTACAACGCTTTATAAGCACAGACCCATCTGCAATGACACCCAGGCTCTTAAAACTCTAGTCAAACCCTGGCTGACTCTCTCTTATGTTCCTTTTCTTCTGATAGATGACCTTCGTTTCAGTGTATTATGGAATTGATGCCCAAATCCCATATATGTTATTTTACAGTCACAGCATCAATAAACTGAGGGTTGAATTTGATCACACTAGCTGGTGAATAACAATATAACAACCTGCACCAATAAAATACATACCGTTCCCTTCATACTCAACACAGTGGCTGTGATAGGTACAAAAGTGGTATAAACATTCATAACTTACACAATGAATACTGGTGAAATACACGGTCAACATCTTCAGGTTTATAACAACTTTTAATTATTGCATCTTGCAAACCTACTCTTCTTGTTTGACTCATATTGATCCCTAGATTGATATGGATCCATAACTAGTATTTGGTATTTTATTAGGATCCCCATTACCTACTGCTAAAGAAGCAGCTACTCTTCCTGGGGTCCACACAAAACACAAAACATGACATAATACAGAACATTAATAGACAAGTACATCACAAGGACAGAACAACATCTATTTAAAATAAGTATACACGCTTTCATACATTTATGCTTTCAAAATCATGTGATTGTCTATTGTAAATACAATATGGAATAACTGTCAATTATCTTCTGTAATCTTCATAAGCACTTCCTAAAGTACTCTTGAGGCTTAAAGAGGATGGAAACAACATGTCTTCCCTTATTACCCAGAAGCTGAACCCATCGTGGAGCATCTCTTGGTCTCCGACATCACCCCAGACAGCTGTAAAGTGGCCTGGTCAGCTGAAGAGGACCTCTTTGATAGTTTTGTCATTATGATCAATGATACTAGCGACAACCTGGCTTCTCCGCAAGAGGTGGTCGTGCCCGGCGAAGAGAGAACAACAGTGCTTACTGAGCTAATTGACGACACAGAGTATGAAATTGAGCTCTATGGGGTCATTTCTGGACGGCGCTCAGACTCTATTTCCGGGGTGGCAAAAACAGGTACATGGTATGACATCACACCAGCAATGGCGTAGGGCTGCTGGATAGATGATTTTAGGAATGTGTTCAGCTTCTTTCAATATTGTAAACTGTATTTTCTCTTTCTCAATGTTGTCAATTTGTAGTCCTACAATAACAGCATGAAAATAGGGTCAAAATGGGTAAATGTTTTAACAATTATCTAATTTCTTTATAGTTGCAGTCGTTTTTGTTTACTAACCTGATAACATTGTGTCATAATATTTGTTCAAGGCAGCAATCTGGTAGAATTATAACTAACTTTGCAAATGAAAGTTATTAAGCCTATTTAATGGAGTCCTTAAGTTGTGAATGTTTAATTTAAACCTACTTGGGCTGCCTTGTGTGTCTTGTGCCTAAACTGTGTGATGGGTCTCATGGTGTTTTTTCTCATCCTGGTCGTGTCTGTTCAGTGTTCACTGTCCTGTCATTGTCTCGTCTGTCAGCACTCCTGAGTGGTTCCAGTGGAATCATCCAGCAGCCCTCTCCTCTAAAGCCAGCCCCAGTATATGTGAACCAACACACTGTCTGTCTGTCTCACTGTCTGTCTGACAGTGTAAACAGTACATTCAGCCTCTGATGGCCTCCCATTCATGGATATCCAGAGAACTGCTCAGGAGATTTATTCAACTCTTCACTTGCTCAGTTTTTTTGTCTCTATCTGTCAAGTTGTCTCCAATCTTGTCTTTGACTGTCCAGCCCCAATGGGGTTTGTCTAATTGTCTTTAAACCGTAAAGGGAAAGTTGTCTGTCTGTGTGTTGAGTGTCTGAATGGGTGTCTCTCTCTCTCACTCTGGCCGTCCCCTGCTTTCTCTGGGGGTATGGCTTCACTCTCGGGTCCGATGGCCCTGGTGCATGTTTCACTTTTGTGTGTCTGTAATGGGGGCAAGTTAATCTTCCTGTGTCGTGTCTGTCAAGCAAGATGCTGTGGCTCAGCGCTGATGACAGGCGCTGGGAGCCCTGGCTTCTTTGTCTTTGTCTGTCTCTCTTTCTCTACTTTAACTGGTGGTTCTCAATGGTGTATCTGACACACTAAAATAATACAATAATGTGTATTTTCTGGGTAATTAAGGCATTAAATAAAATCTCTATGGACGTTTTTAGGAATGGGATCTTTAGGAATGCTTTAGGGGTGTGTTTTCCTTTGTTTTGTAATTTATTTGTAACCAGTAATATTTTATGTAGAGATGTAATGAGGCATTATTTGATGTCCTATGATCTGGAGCCAGTTCCACAAAGCATCTCAGAGTAGAAGTGCTGATTTAGGATCTGTCCATATGATCTAATTCATTATTATCTAAAAGGCAAAACTGATCTCCTACTCTGAGACACTTTGTGGTTTCCATTCCTCTTCACTTAAAAACCTGCCCCCTAAGTCACTGGCTAACTATCTACCTGTGTTCTGTTTGTTTGTTGTCCTCTGTATCCGTATGTTCTCCAGGGCTGGGCACACCCAAGGGCATCCGTTTCTCTGATGTCACTGATACCTCTGCCATTGTACACTGGACAATGCCCAGAGCTCGAGTGGACAGGTACCATGTCACCTATGTCCCTGCTCAGGGAGGTGAGTCCCTACAGACATACATACCTATACCATACATATAGCTTCACTACATGGCCAAAAGTATGAGGACACCTGCTTGTCGAACATCTCATTCCAAAATCATGGGCATTAACATGGAGTTGGTCCCCCCTTTGCTGCTATAACAGCCTCCACTCTTCTGGGAAGGCTTTTCACTAGATGTTGGAACATTGCTGCGGGGACATTAGTGAGGTTGGGCACTGATGTTGGGTGATTAAGCCTGGCTCGCAGTCGGCGTTCCAATTAATCCCAAAGGTGTTCGATGGGGTTGAGGTCAGGGCTCTGTGCAGGCCAGTCAAGTTCTTCCACACCGATCTCGACAAACCATTTCTGTATGGACCTCGCTTTGTGCATGGGGGCATTGTCATGCTGAAACAGGAAAGTGCCCTCCCCAAACTGTTGGTATAAGCTGGAAGTAGAGGCCTAAGCATTGGGTGGCGGGGTTGGAAAGTAATAAAGGGAAATATATATATACAGTGATCCCTCGCCACTTCGCGGTTCACTTATCGCGGATTCGCTATTTCGCGGATTTTCATAATGCATTTTTTTTTTTTTTGGTGCATTGTGCTCTGCATTCTGATTCGCTAAAAACTCACTCCCGCTTCTTGTATCAAAACATGCTACGAATTGTGCTATCATTTTGTCGTCTCGTGCAGTTATGTGTACGTACATAAAACAGCTTGGCAAATTTACATTAAGTTGGCCAAATTATCTTGTAATTTCGAACATCTCCTAAACCCATAATGTCGACGAAACGGCCTGGACCGACAAAAGCACCTGCGGATGGGCCCAAACGGCGGAAGATGCTACCTATCTCAGATAAAGTTAAACTTCTGGACATGCTAAGGGAAGGTAAAAGCTATGCAGCCGTTGCTCGCCATTACGGAATCAATGAATCTTCCGTTCGTTACATAAAGAAGGAGGAAAAAAAACATAAGGACGACAGCAGCAGTCAATGAGGAGGAAGGACTAACGCTTGGTCGCTTAGCAACCATGGTGCGAATGGCCACTGAACTTAAGCGAGTAGCTGAGGAATGGGACCCTTTGATGAGCCGTTCATTACAGTTCTCCAACGTAATCGATGGTGGCATGTCGGTGTACAAGGATCTTTTTGCAAAGAAGAAAAAAGAGCGACAACAGCTGCCTATCACTATGTTCTTCTCCCGAACAAACACACCTGCACCGCGGGCTTCAGAAGAAGAGAACACTGCAGAGCGCAGTCAGGATGCAGCGGCCCAGTCTGAAGAGCAGTGAAACGGCCTACACGTGAGTCACTGTATTTGTATACATGTAATAGTTGCTAATTGTAAAAAAAAAAGTTTTCTATTTCGCGGATTTCACTTATCGCGGGTCATTTTCGGAACGTAACCCCCGCGATAAACGAGGGATTACTGTATATATATATATATATATATAAAATATGGGGGATTGGAAGTGATGCAGGCAATTACATTGATGGAACTTACAATCTATCTGCAAAATTAAGCTGATCTACCCCCCCCCCCCCACACCCCCCCCCCCCCATAAAAAAAAGAAGAAACTGTTGCCACAAAGTTGGAAGCACAGAATCGTCTAGAATATAATTGTATGCTGTAGCGTTAAGATTTCCCTTCACTGGAACTAAGGGGCCTAGCCCCAACCATGAAAAACAGCCACAGACTATTATTCTTCCTCCACCAAACTTTACAGTTGGTACTATGCATTGGGGCAGGTAGCATTCTCCTGGCATCCTCCAAACCCAGATTCGTCCGTCGGACTGCCAGATGGTGAAGCGTGATTCATCACTCCAAAGAACATGTTTCCACTGCTCCAGAGTCCAATGGCGTTGAGCTTTACACCACTCCAGCCGACGCTTGGCATTGCGCATGGTGATCTTGGTCTTGTGTGTGGCTGCTCGGACATGGAAACCCATTCCATGAAGCTCCCGACGAACAGTTATTGTGTTGACGTTGCTTCCAGAGGCAGTTTGGAACTCGGTAGTGAGTGTTGCAACCGAGGACAGATTATTTTTATGCGCTATGCGCTTCAGCACTCGGTGGTCCTGTTCTGTGAGCTTGTGTGGCCTACCACTTCGCAGCTGAGCCGTTGTTGCTCCTAGACGTTTCCACTTCACAATAACAGCACTTACGTTGACCGGAAAGGTCTAGCAGGGCAGAAATTTGACGAACTAACTTGTTGGAAAGGTGTCATCCTATGACGGTGCCACGTTGAAAGTCACTGAGCTCTTCAGTACGGGCCATTCTGCTGCCAATGTTTGTCTATGAAGATTGCACGGCTGTGTGCTCGATTTTATACACCTGTCAGCAACTGGTGTGGCTGAAATAGCCGAATCCACTAATTTGACCATGTAGTGTATATCTATGCTGTATATATCTATACTGTACATACAGATATACCTATACTATACACTAAGTGTACAAAACATTAGTATTGAGTTGCACCCCCTTTTGCCCTCAGAACATCTTCAATTAGTTGGGGCATGGACTCTACAAGGTGTCGAAAGCGTTCCACACGGATGCTGGGCCATGTTGACTCCGAAGCTTCCCTCAGTTGTGTCAAGTTGGCTGGAAGTCCTTTGGGTGGTGGACCATTCTTGATACACACGGGAAACTGTTGAGTGTGAAAAACCCAGCAGCGTTGCAGTTCTTGACACAAACCGGTGTGCCTGGCACCTACTACCATACCCTGTTAAATGGCACTTAAATATGTTGTCTTACCCATTCACCATCTGAATGGCACACATAAAGAATCCATGTCTCAATTGTCTCAAGGCTTAAACATCCTTTAACCTGTCTCCTCTCGTTCATCTACACTGATTGAAGTGGATTTAACAAGTGACATCAATAAGGGAGCATAGCTTTCATTTGGATTTACCTGGTCAATCTGTCATGGAAAGAGCAGGTGTTTATAATGTTTTGTATACTCAGTGTATATACTATACTATACTATACTATACTATACTATACTATACTATACTATACTATACTATACTATACTATACTATACTATCCTATCCTATACTATACTATACAATGGATGCAAACCAGAGGAAAAGCATTTACATGTGGGGTGTGGTCACATTGAAATTATTTTATCAATAAATAAACAAGGTATGTTTTTGGAGTCTCTGTAGAGAGAACAGATCTATCCTGTGGAATTCTATGTTAGTCTTCATCTGCCATCTAGTGGCTGTTCTGTCTCTGTGAGCCGATGTGGCAGTTTGAAATGCAGGGAGACGCAACATAACTTTGACGTGAACTGCTTCATTACTGGTTCACTATTTCACTGGTTCACTACTTGATGATAAAACATATTATTTGTGATATGGATTGAATAAATAATAGCCAATACAGAATCGGACATCTGACCCAAACAGGTCCTATAATTCATTATTGATTCTATATAATTCTATGTAATTTGATGGTATAATAATAAATATAATATGCCATTTAGCAGACGCTTTTTATCCAAAGCGACTTACATTCATGCGTGCATACATTTTTTTTTTTTGTGTATGGGTGGTCCCGGGGATCGAACCCACTACCTTGGCGTTACAAGCGCCGTGCTCTACCAGCTGAGCTACAGAGGACCACATAGTCTGAATGACCTTGTCCATTTCTTCATGTGTTTGTGTGCAGGTGCTCCTAAGACTGTGACAGTGGGTGGAACTGAGTCTCAGAAGGTGCTGCCCAAACTGACCCCTGGAGTGACCTACCAGGTGAATGTCATCTCTGTGAAGGGACAGAAGGAGAGTGAGCCAGGCTCCAGCAGCGTCACCACAGGTGAGGGTCACACATGTTCACAACACAAGGTGTGCATCCCAACTGGCACCCTATTCCCTATATAGTGCACTATTTTTGACCAGAGCCTTATAGGCCCTGGTCAAAAGTAGTGCACTATAAAGGGAATAGGGTGCCATTTGGGACACATTTTTGGAGTATGGTAACTAGAGCCTACATACACATACAACATCAAAACAATAATAGCTTTTCTTTATATGCCCTGCCAAAAGGATTTGATACATTCAATATAACTAAACAAAGCGTCAAACGTTGATGGTGACAACCAAGTTGGTAAACGGTCTTTAAAGGCTGAGCATGAAGCCCATTGTGAAAGCTGTTAGTGTGTACAGATGGAGAATGGCTGGGGGTGGATAGGTCTCCTGTTTCCTTACAATAGAAGACAATGGCTCTGTCCTTGGGGAGGTGTTTGATGTGGCTCTGCTCAGAGTAACCACATTTTGTGTGTGTGTGTGTGTGTGTGTGTGTGTGTGTGTGTGTGTGTGTGTGTGTTTGTGTGTGCGTGTGTGTGCGTGTGTGTTCTATGTGACAGCTTTGGACAAGCCCCGTGGCCTGACTGTAGTCAACATCACTGACACAGAGGCTCTGCTCCACTGGCAGCCTTCCGTCGCCACTGTAGATGGATATGTCATCACCTACAGCGCAGACACTGGTAGGGTATCGCACGCGCACACACGCCATCTGGATGTACTGTACTGTATATTACCAGGGGTTATGGGAGAAAAGGCCTCCCATTGTGTGTGTTGCATGTTCCTTCATTGTTTTCATTTAATATCCTTACGGACAGATGCTGATCTGGTCCTTACTGTCTCTATCTGTCCCTGTCCCTGTCCCTGTCCCTGTCCCTGTCCCTGTCCCTGTCCCTGTCCCTGTCCCTGTCCCTGTCCCTGTCCCTGTCTCTGTCCCTGTCCCTGTCTCTGTCCCTGTCCTTGTCTCTGTACCTGTCCTGGTCTGTCTCTGTCCCTGTCCCTGTCCCTGTCCCTGTCCCTGTCCTGGTCTGTCTCTGTCTCTGTCCCTGTCTCTGTCCCTGTCCCTGTCCTTGTCTCTGTCCCTGTCCCTGTCCCTGTCCCTGTTCTTGTCTCTGTCCCTGTCCTGGTCTGTCTCTGTCTCTGTCTCTGTCTCTGTCTCTGTCCCTGTCCCTGTCCCTGTCCCTGTCCCTGTCCCTGTCCTTGTCCCTGTCCCTGTCCCTGTCCCTGTCCCTGTCCCTGTCCCTGTCCCTGTCCCTGTCCCTGTCCTTGTCCTGGTCTGTCTCTGTCTCTGTCTCTGTCTCTGTCTCTGTCTCTGTCCCCGTCCCCGTCCCCGTCCCCGTCCCCGTCCCGTCCCTGTCTCTGTCTCCGTCTCCGTCTCCGTCTCCATCTCCATCTCCATCTCTGTCTCTGTCTCTCTCCTCACTGTTTCTGTGTGTTCTGTGTGTGCAGTAGTCCCAGTGATGGAGAGAGTGTCTGGAAACATTGTGGAGTTTGAGATGACCTCCTTGACGCCTGCCACCCACTACACTGTCAAGGTCTACGCCATGAGAGCGACTGCTAAGAGCACCACCACCACAACTGAGTTCACCACTGGTGGGTATATGGCCTAGAGGGCCTAGACCTAAAACATTCCCTCCCACACACACACACATTCAAACTCTCACAGCAGCTTTGATTAGTGCCTATGATTTCATTGAGAAACTGCTATGAAGCTGTATGCTCATTCAAAACATCAATATCAATTGTGGATCAACAACAGAACAGATAACATTCTAACCAAACAGGCAGACATTCACACAAAACACTACTCTCTACACCCTCTCCCTCCTGCAGTTGCAGTATTTACTGGCCCACTAAACCTACAGGTTACATAACTGGGTCTCAAGCTGTTTTTTTTGTGGTTCAAATGTACCTTTTTTACCCCGTACACTTTCAAACAGACAACCTGAACCTGGAAACAGACGGTCTAAAGAAGACGAAGTACTCTGTCTGAACTGGGTTTTATACCCTTCCACTGTGTTCTCTCCCCTAGATGTGGATGCCCCTCAGGAACTGGCAGCCAGTAACATCCAGACAGAGAACGCCATGTTGACCTGGAAGGCCCCACACGCTGACATCACCGGCTACATCCTCAGCTTTGAGTCAGCTGACGGCACAATCCGGGTCGGTGGTTGTCTGCATGGTGGAACCATAGAATTAAAATGATTCTAATTATATGGGTGGAGTGGAACAACCTTGCATTTCTTCCTTTGTCAGATAGACTATTGTTTTGTCCAAGAGGGCATGATGATGCATAATTGGGGTGTATAAGAAAATGCATTTATTTTCATGTAATATTGATAATACATCTTTGGGATCTAGAAAAGCATTATATGAATCCAATGTACTATTATATGCGTCCCAAATGGCATCCTATTCCCTATGTAGTGCACTATTATGTATGAATAATTGTGTATCTCTGACATTCTGACTGCTGGGTTGCAATGTTCCTCCAGGAGGTTGTCCTGAGCCCCACAGCCACCTCCTACAACATGGCCCAGCTGAGTGCCTCCACTGACTACTCCGTCAGACTGCTGGCCATCGCAGGGCCCAAGAGGAGCAAAGTCATCACCACCGTCTTCACCACCAGTGAGTGTGTTCCCACAGTGATGTCGGTAGTCTGCCGACTCCGGACCGAACATACCCACTGGCAATAGGGTTAGGAATCCGGCCTCGGACCCTACTCTCTGTTTCCCTCTGGATCTGCCCCCCTACACACACACTCTCTACCTTCCGATTGGCAATGTTCCTAAATGATAAAATACAAAAATATATATTAGAAAAAACCTGTTACCATAGTGACCCTCTCTCTGTTCACCACCCACTGTGGCAATCTCTATGCCTTCTTTATTCATCTTAAGCTTAGAGTTTGTTGGACAGCTGGAGCGGTTTAGCAACTCATCTTCTGTTTGTGTGTGTGTGTGTGTGTGTGTGTGTGTGTGTGTGTGTGTAGTTGGCGTGCTGTACAAACACCCCAGGGACTGCTCCCAGGCCTTGCTGAATGGAGACACATCCTCTGGTGTCTACACCATCTACCTGGGTGGAGATGAGAGTCAGCCCACCCAGGTCTACTGTGACATGGAAACAGATGGAGGTGGATGGACTGTAAGTCACTGGCTACTAGTATACTGTACAACCTAACTTCAAACCTCATTGATTCAGATCAGAGGTGGCTGGTGAAGGGAGGACAGCTCCCAGTAATGGCTGGAATGTAATGAAATGAACGGATTCAAACACATGCATGGTTTTCATTGAACCCGTCAGCCGATTTAAAGTGACACCAGGCACCACTGATTCAGATGATATTTATTGCAGTGTAATGGATCTTAGTCCATAGGGTTATATAATGAGTGATCTGGTGTTGTTTGTCCCCATCATCCAGGTGTTTGTCAGACGCCAGAGCGGTAAACTGGAGTTCTTCCGCAACTGGAGGAACTACACTGCTGGCTTCGGTGACATGAACGATGAATTCTGGCTCGGTATGCTCATAATATGGAAAATATTATATATCAACACATTGATTTATTTATTTGAATCCATTTAAGGTATATGAATACGAGTACTGTATTTGAATAAACTGTAATAATTTCCCCTATCATTTGGTAGATATCATTACAAAAAAGTCCTCTGAAATTATTGTAAATCCCACCTGTCATATTTTCCCCCAGGCCTGTCGAACCTCCATAAGATCACTGTAGCAGGACAGTACGAGCTTCGTGTGGACCTCAGAGACAAGGGGGATGAAGCCTACGCCCAGTATGACAAGTTCTCCATCTCTGATCCCCGCAGTCGCTACAAGGTCCACGTTGGAGGGTACAGTGGTACCGCAGGTAAGACTTGCTTCTCTGCAACCATTAGATACCTAATACAAAGTCCAATGTGTGTAAAAAATGGCACCCTATTCCCTTTATGGTGCACTACAAGGGGGGGCTCTAGACAAAAGGGTGCCATTTGGGGGACACACCAAAAGTTAGAATAAATCAAAGTAATAAAGTACTGTATATTGATATTAGGTGTGTGAGGGTGAAGCAAGCATGTATTCAACCTAAGCCTCCTTTCTGAAGTCGGTTAAATTTGGTTCCTGCTTTGTTCTCTCTCTGCTGCCCTCTGTAGGTGATTCTATGACCTACCACCACGGTCGCCCGTTCTCAACCTACGACCATGACAATGACATCGCCGTCACCAACTGTGCCCTGTCCTACAAGGGTGCCTTCTGGTATAAGAACTGCCATCGCGTCAACCTTATGGGACGATATGGAGATGACAGTCACAGCAAGGTGAGAGCACACATACTTGAAGATACAATACTAGCAGCAATTTCTATATCCGTATTTCAAAAAATACTGCTGTAGTGCAGTATCAAACGTGTTGACTTTGTCATGATAAGGGAGGAAATTCAAGGCATTTGGGTTAATAATACAAACCCCTCGCTACTAATATTACTCTGTGTTCATCAGGGAGTCAACTGGTTCCATTGGAAAGGACATGAGCACTCCATTGAGTTTGCCGAGATGAAGATTAGGCCATCCAACTTCAGAAACTTTGAGGGAAGGAGGAAACGATCGTAAACCAACCGACCGATCTGCGCTACGACCCATCTCCTCGTGACCCCTGAACCCGTCCACCGTCCTCTGCCACTGCTGATTCCAAGGTTGCATCCCAAATGGCACTCTATTTCTTATGTAGTGCACTACTTTTGACCAGGGCCAGTAGAGCTCTGGTCAAAAGTAGTGCACTAAATAGGAAATAGGGTGCCATTTGGGACATACCCCACACTTCCCTGCAGCTACCAAAGCCACTGCCAAGAGCCCAGCCACCTCAAACTACACCCCTCCTCTTGCTCACTCACAGAAATAAGCACAGATACAGTAAAAATGTACTACAAATCCCACTATCCAACACCTCCTGATACAAAATGGTTGTGTGCAGTATAAATACTGTCAATGCCAAATTGATGTGGGAAAATATGGATTTACACGTCACAAACTAAACCCACAGATTATACACGTACCAAAGAGAGTATAATCTATAAAACCCAAGTATAAAGCATATGTTTCTTTCTTGTCACTATCATGTTACAGTAACATCACTTAGTGGAGGGGTGCATTTGAGTCTGGTCTGGGGTATTAACATGTAGAATACTGATGTATTCTGCCTCTACAGTGTGTCCATCTCCTCCAACCACAGTAGGCCATTAGGGTGTTTGCCAGGGTTGGGGTCAATTGGAGTTGAAGGCAGTCAATTCAGGAAATGATTTTTAAATAAATAGCTTTTGCTTTTCAGTTTATTGAGTAGTCATTGAAAATACATGCTCTTTTTTAAATTATTGAATTGGAATTTCAGTTTACTTCCTGAATTGACTGCCTTCAATTCTAATTGACACCAACCCTGGTGTTTCCAGAGAGACATGGCTGATTACATACATGTGGTCTTGTTTTAGTGTCAGGGCCTCTTCACTAATACTGGTAACCTTTAAACTGGATTATAGAAATTATATTATTTGAATAACACACCACCCACCAAGAGCACATACAATACGTACACTCAATTCAATCATCTGGATTGAAGTGATGTTATTGATAAAAAAGGATTCTCCACATAAACCGCACAACTCATTCAAATGTAAAATGTCTATGTAAAGTGAAGAGAGCTCACAGAGAGTCCTATCTCATTCATTAGTCTATGTGTGACTCATCCCTTTTCACTTCATCATTCCCTCTCTCCTGAAATCCCTTCTTGCAAACTGTGATCTGAAATGATATGGGCAAAATAAATGGCATTCTGAATAAAGCTAATCTGCTTCATCCCACACACAGGTGGACGACATGAGGTGTTTCCATTGATTGTGTGGGCCATACAGGCACTGTGCAATTGTCTCTTACACATGCAACTGAGATAGTACTACTTTTTCCACCAGCTATCATGCATTAGCTACAGGATACAGAGAAAATGTTTATGTGTTTGATTTGTTTTCTATTTCCTTAAGAAATCCAAGGCAGGACCTATAATTCAATATACAATGAAATTGTGGGTGATTGTTACATTTTTGATGAATGGGAAATACGTATATGGATGCAACAGGAGTCAGAGAGGAATATTGTGATGAAATACAGAAGATATGGATGCTTAAAATAGGCTAATGGCCAATTCCAATTGACATTGTAAGGTCAGTGTTTACTTTGTTGAGAAACATCTATTTGGGCAGACCAAAATGAACTAGAGAGAAGTTCTTCTTGTTCTGTTCTGTTCTGTTCTCCCCCTCCCGCCCCCTGCTATGCCAGGAGACCAAACCACTGAGACCCCCCTCCCCATGAAATACCTGTGTAAATTAAAGTTTCTTTATTTTCTATTATTTTTTATTGTTTATAACTGGGTGAACAACAGGTGTTTCTCTGTAACCCGTATTACAATAAAAAAAGATGTTCTTTAAAATTGACAAGTCTAATATCTGTCTAAAGAAAAATGTTTCATAATGCAATAAGTGTGAAATATGTCGCTGTCAATTTGTTTTTACACTGCATATTGGTTTAATATTGGGAGTTGGCTCGTCTATAGCTCTCCAACGCACAAATGTGAAGGAGCCAAGGAGCCATACTGTCACGATCGTCTGAAGGATTGGACCAATGCGCAGCGTTGCGAGTGAACATGATGACTTTATTAATTAAAGCAACCACGAAGAAAACAACAAATAACGATACGTGAAGTTCTAAACTGAATACGACTAACAGCTACAAAGAAACAATAACCCACAAACACAAGGTGAAAACACACAGAATATATATGGCTCCCAATCAGAGATAACAAGCCGACAGCTGACACTCGTTACCTCCGATTGGGAGTTAATGACTCCCAATCGGAGGGTAACGAGTGTCAGCTGTCGGCTTGTTATCTCTGATTGGGAGCCATATATATTCTGTGTGTTTTCACCTTGTGTTTGTGGGTTATTGTTTCTTTGTAGCTGTTAGTCGTATTCAGTTAGTCGTATTCAGTTAATTAATAACCAAATTACCAAAACCACAAACAAATGAAACTCACCCTTACCCAACACCACCAAATGAAATACACCCAAAAGAAAACTGAACAACCCTGGCTCAAAATCAAAGTCTATGGAGCCAGAGTGTCACAGTACCCCCCCCTAAAGGTGCGAACTCCGGGCGCACCAACATCAGGACTAGGGGAGGGTCTGGGTGGGCGTCTGTCCATGGTGGCGGCTCTGGCCCCGGTCGTGATCCCCACCCCACCACAGTCACAACCTGCTTCGGTAGCCTCCTCCCAATGACCACCCTCCACCTAACCCCACCTGGACTAAGGGGCAACCCCGGACTAAGGGGCAGCATCGGCCTAAGGGGCAGCACCGGGATAAGGGGCAGCACCGGGATAAGGGGCAGCACCGGGACAAGGGGCAGCACCGGACTACGGGGCAGTACCGGACTAAAGGGCAGTACAGGACTAAGGGGCAGCACCGGGCTAAGGGGCAGCACCGGGCTAAGGGGCAGCACCGGACTAAGGGGCAGCACCGGGCTAAAGGGCAGCACCGGACTAAGAGGCAGCACCGGACTAAGGGGCAGTACCGGACTACGGGGCAGCCCCGGGCTAAGGGGCGGCACCGGACTCAGGGGCAGCACCTGACTAGATGGCGGATCCTGGCTGGCTGGCTCTGGCGGATCCTGGCGGGACGGCTCTGGCGGATCCTGGCGGGACGGCTCTGGCGGATCCTGGCGGGACGGCTCTGGCGGATCCAGGCTGGACGGCTCTGGCGGATCCTGGCGGGACGGCTCTGGCGGATCCTGGCGGGACGGCTCTGGCGGATCCTGGCGGGACGGCTCTGGCGGATCCTGGCTGGACGGCTCTGGCGGATCCTGGCTGGACGGCTCTGGCGGATCCTGGCTGGACGGCTCTGGCGGATCCAGGCTGGACGGCTCTGGCGGATCCTGGCTGGACGGCTCTGGCGGATCCTGGCTGGACGGCTCTGGCGGATCCTGGCTGGACGGCTCTGGCGGATCCTGGCTAGACGGCTCTGGCGGATCCTGGCGAGACGGCTCTGGCGGATCCTGGCTGGACGGCTCTGGCGGATCCTGGCTGGACGGCTCTGGCGGATCCTGGCTGGACGGCTCTGGCGGATCCTGGCTGGCTGACGGATCTGGCTGCTCATGGCTGGCTGACGGATCTGGCTGCTCATGGCTGGCTGACGGATCTGGCTGCTCATGGCTGGCTGACGGATCTGGCTGCTCATGGCTGGCTGACGGATCTGGCTGCTCATGGCTGGCTGACGGATCTGGCTGCTCATGGCTGGCTGACGGGTCTGGCTGCTCATGGCTGGCTGACAGATCTGGCTGCTCATGGCTGGCTGACGGATCTGGCTGCTCATGGCTGGCTGACGGATCTGGCTGCTCATGGCTGGCTGACGGATCTGGCTGCTCATGGCTGGCTGACGGATCTGGCTGCTCATGGCTGGCTGACGGATCTGGCTGCTCATGGCTGGCTGACGGGTCTGGCTGCTCATGGCTGGCTGACGGATCTGGCTGCTCATGGCTGGCTGACGGATCTGGCTGCTCATGGCTGGCTGACGGATCTGGCTGCTCATGGCTGGCTGACGGGTCTGGCTGCTCATGGCTGGCTGACGGGTCTGGCTGCTCATGGCTGGCTGATGGTGCTGGCTGGGAGACTGGCGGTGGAGGCGGACCCCAGCCTCGGATTGCATTCATCACCTCCAGCAGGGCGGCTCCCATCTGCAGGAGCTGCTCTTTCTGGTCCCGAACCCGAGCTTCCAGTCTAGTATGGGCTGCGTCGGCTCCTGCTGATTCCATAGCAGGTGTATGATTCTGTCTGGCGGAAGGCTCTAGCGGCTCCTGTCTGGCGGAAGGCTCTGAAGGCTCATGGCAGACGGACGGCTTTGCAGGCTCAGTACAGACGGGCGGCTTATGCAGCGCTTGGCAGACGGGCAGTTCAGACGCCATAGGGCCGACGGGCAGTTCAGGCGCCGTTGGGCAGACGGCCAGTTCAGGCGCCGTTGGGCAGACGGCAGACTCTGGCCGACTGGTGACGCACCCCGTAGGATTCGTGCGTGGAGCAGGAACAGGCCGGGCTGGGCTGGCGACGCGCACCTTATCCCTGGTGCGAGTGGCCGGAACAGGCCGGGCCGGGCTGGCGACGCACATCGTGGACCTGGTGCGTGGAGTAGGAACAGACCGGTCCGTACCGGGAACACCCACCACTGGCCTTAACTGGGGATCAAGAACGGACCGGACCAGACTGGGAACACACTTCAGTCTCTCATGCCGTGCCACAACAACTTCCCTCCTTCCACTCGCCAATGGCTCCCGTACTCCGTTAGCCTTCACTCCTTTTCTCCCTGTGGCAGCCTCCTGCTGCCCAGCTGCCCAAGCCATGTGCCCCCCCCCAAAAATTTCTTGGGGTTGCCTCTCTTCCACGGGCTTCCAGCCTCGCCTTCGCGCTGCCTCCTCGTACCACCTCCTCTCGGCTTTGGCTGCCTCCAGCTCTTCACGAGGGAGGCGATATTCTCCCGGTTGTGCCCAAGGATCCTTTCCATCCAATAACTCTTCCC